GAGAGAGAGAGAGCGAGGGAGAGAACGAGAAAGAGAGAGGCTCGTTCCCGACAGCTTGAGGTAGGTAATCGCCTGGCGAAATTGCACAAACCACACAGAATGCCGGGCTAGAGAAAAAGACGAGTACATCAGGATGAGAGGGCCGGCTTCGAGCAAGACAAGTCAATGAGCCAACCAAATTGTTCCTGCAAGAAACGCATCGAAGCATGTTGCACACTACCGTCGTACAGAGGGCTCGTTCTCTCCAGCATGGGTGCACCGCAGAGGCACACAACGTTACACTGCACTGTAATAATTACTGCTGTAGCACACGAAATACAATCCAGCATATATATCAAGAGGTACATACTGTATGCATGGCAGCACTCACCGCCGTCGAGTTCCTTCTCGATGACGATAATCAGAACGAAGGCCAGCATCTCGAAGAAGGCGAAGGCCATCATCAGGCTGCCGGCGGCGATCGCCAGGGACTTGACGCTGCAGCACTTGAGCCCAGCCGCCGGGCGGAACAGGGCGAGGGTGAAGAGGACCATCGACACCGACACCACCACGGCGGCGATGAACTGCATCGCCGTGAACGCCTTGTCTGCGATTGCAACCGGAGCAAAACAAAAGAGCCAGATAATTTAGTGATAGGCGTTGCGGTGACCCTCGGGGGCTGGCATAGGTGTGGAAAGGGAGGGAATCCCAAGTGTAGAGAATCCTGACAACGAGCGTGCTCGTTCTATACCCCTCTTTTCTCCGTGTAGCGGTTGCGAAAGCACGCCTGTCTGCTCGCCCTACTCTTTTGCTGATGCGTGCTACGACATCAGAGTGAGCAGTGTTGCCGCTGTCGTCTTTGCATGAAACATGGTTCTGATCTCCGTCCAGTACCAACCCTTCCCCTGCTCTTCAGCGGAGGACGCGCGAAGTCACACCACTGTAGCTTGCCGAAACAACATCCTCGAAAGAGTGTTGCTTAGAGCACAAGGTTTCATGCTAAGCGAGTCGACAAGACTCTTTATCATGTGATGAAAGGGCACCCTTACATAGGGAGCACACGTCATCGCTTGAATCGCAATCGTCCAGGATGTCCTCATCCCCTGCACCAATGTCAAAGCCGTCAATTTTGGCCCACTTGTCGTCCGCAGAGGCCTGAATATCCCTTGCAGTCGACCCGGACACGTGGCGCAAGTGTTAAAGAAGCAAGGCAGACGTACACTGTGAAACCCTGCATATTCCTTGACTTCTCTTGGAATTTCTCAGTGCGTTTTTCTTCAGTAACGTTGGCGTGCACGGCGCTAGGCCTGGGTGGGCAGGCCGTTTAGCGGCTGCAAGCATCATATGGCCAACCTCAAAACCCGCAGAGGGTGTACAAAAAGTCGATGAAGGCGGTTCCTCTGCTCCGCCACGCAGCACCCATACCACCGACCACAGCTTCCGAGAGTTCCACACCACTAGGTGGCTGTCGGTGTAACCCGTCTGGCGAATGTCACGCCCATCATTGTTGGACCGCGATTGACTACTCGCCCGAAACTCTAGCTCAAAACCCCAAAGCTCGTCAACGTTAACACGAAACGAATGGCACAGTACTTGGTGCTGCTTCGCACACATCTTGGCGCAACTCTTATCCTCATCGGACGCGGGTCCGCCGAAACAACGTCCATAAACATCTATCATATGTATGTACCGCAAAACGTACGACGTACCTCAATGAAGCCAGGAATAGAGAAATTCACCCACCGGTGCGTTGAAACACGAGCACCTCATCGACTTCGACACGAAACGTCCGCGACAAACATGCAGCTTATTGTACGTCTCCTGGGAAATCCAGTCCTCGCTCTCGCTGCGTACGAGCCACCATCACATCTCACAAACCACTGATATAACTGGTGCCTTTGGCTTTTGAGCAATCCCCTGTGCCGTGATCAGCTCCGTACGCACTTACCAAGCACCACAAAAGGGAAGGTGTGGCCCCTCGAGGAGAGGCGAGTGTCAGGGACGATTCCGCGAGATCGGATACAAAGCCTATCATACCACAATCGGAAGAACAGCCTTAGTACAAGGGATGTTTGCGAGGCGACCGGTAGGTACCACATGGGGACACGAAACAAAAAAAGCGACCATCGTGTGCTGCTGCGCTTTTGCTTGGCTCCTCACCGCAACAGCGAAGACCCAGATGACCCAGCCCAACGCGCAGGAAATCCAGAACGTCAGCCTTGGCGTACAGCAGGGGCCTGACCGTGCCGCCTGCTTGGCCGCGTTACGCACCCGGCAAGCAGGGGACAGCGGCATGGGTACATTCGGGAGACGCGGTCGACAACATTTCATGCGACCATCCCCTTGTGCTTTGGGGGTCCCGAGAGAGCGACTTCATTGACGAGGATTGCGGGTGGGTGGACCCTTCCCGCCAGAGGGTGTGCCATACATAGATACAAGGTTTCTAGAAGTTACTCAGGGAAGGGGGTGGGGGAAATCAAGGAAACGAGGTTTCTTCCGCCGATCCCGCTTTCCTATGCTAGGGGCTAGAAATAAGGCACTGGAGGCCACACCTAAAGCACAATACTCTCAACGTGTTTTGTTGTTCAGAGACAACACACACTCGCCAGTAGTGGGGACGCCACGCAATCCTTCAATGTTTCGAGGACTGGTGCGTACGTCATACAACTGGGTCTGGTTCACGACAGAGAAACAGAGTCCGACAGACAGAACCTGGTTGCTCTCAATTTTGGGGTTGTGCGGCAAACGCCGAAGAAGGGAACAAACCTGGGTAAGACAAACTGCTGCATGCAGAGAACCCTTCGCTACACGAGGGCCCACTCAACCCAGATGCATTCGACCTGAGCCCACGAAAAATGATGCAAGGAGGATCTAACCTACATAATACATCGGCCCTGAGAGGCGTGTCTAAACGTCTTGACCACCCCCCTCCCAAAACAGGGAACAGGGAACAGGGAACTCGGAATTATTGTCTGGTTGGCCTTGTACCACATAAAAATGACATCCCTGGACACAAAGAAATGAATGCCATACACGTTCCTCCTTTTCGGTATCTGCGCCGCGCCCCAAAGTAACGAACTTGATCATCAGCCAATACATGTATACCATGTGGAATGGTATGGAACACGGGCTCTTAGGTGGCAAATCAGGACGTGGTGGGATGTGTATGATCACTCTCGGGCATTTGGCCGCCACAGGTGCTGCACGCTACCGGTTCAAGCGATGTATGAGGCACTGCCTACATCACCAGGCGTCTTGCATGCAACAAAACGGCTGCGGATGCTTGTGGCTACACGGGGGTAGATGAACTGTCAACAAAACGGCTGCCGCGGACCACAACTCAATTAGGCAGGCCTTCAAGAGCACTCTCGAGGGTGCGGATTGCACGACGAGCCCTGCCTGCTCTAACTGAACCTAGCACATGTGACATAGGTGCGCTCGTCAACAGCTTCCTTCAAACCTACATCGGTGCTCCTTCCTGTGCCCCCACCCGTCCTCCCAATGAGAAAACTTGAAACAAAACGGTCCGACTTCTCTGCCACCAAAAGGATGCAAGCAGCACGCAGTCAGTCGTACTTGGGGGGCAGCGACCGCTGCGCAATGGGCTGCGTTGCCACCGTAGGGAGGAGGAAGGTCCGGTCCTCTCTGAGGGACGCTTGCCACCGGCCTCTGTGGGACGAAAGCCAACAAAGCGGGGGTGTGTGGGTGGTAAAATGGCAACAGGGTAGAGGGTCTCAGTTGGCATGGCGACGGTACACGGAAGATTCCATGCATTGACACGGATATGTATTGCCTGGGTGGTTCGGCGTCATGCGAATCGATAACGACCTCATTTTTTCGTGCTTTCTCTCTCCTCTCTCAACCCCCCTTCTCTCTCCACAAGCATGTACCACTCCGCAGAAGCGCCAGAACCTCCTTGCGAGCTGCCGTAAACCGCCCGTGCAAAGAAAAATCCGGGAAATTCCAGCGAAGCTGAGGGGGGCCGGGCATCCTGCAACGAACCCCAAGTGCTCTGCTGCTCTCTCTACCTCCCTTTGCTCACCTCCCATGTCGTCTCCTGCGTCCGATGGTTAGAGAAATACGTGCGCCCCTTTGCATCCTTTTCCTCGGTCCAGAACTCCGGCAGGGGCGGTGCCGACATGATGTATTCTCCGCCGTGTTGGATGTTGAGCCTACGCGGCGAGAGATTTTAGAAGAGTTACTTACACCTTTACCGCATGTCTGGGGAGATGTCGATGTGCTGTCATGCGTACCATTTCCATCCAAACTGTCGCTGGCTATGGTTCCAATGTCGGAGAAGGGCATAGGCTGCTCGTGGTGTCTACATCATGAGAGAGCAATCGCCGGTCTTGCACGCAGAGCCACTTTTTTTTTTGTCTCCCATCATTGGACTCTATCGTCTGCCCGTCTGGCCCCTATCCTCCACTTCTACCAGCTAGACGACCCAACCGGGGTCACACATTGGAGGGGGGGGTTGGAGCCCCTCCTGCGGTTCCTGCCTGAGATAGTTTTATCGCGAGAAGGGTACAGCAATCCCTTCCCTCGCGACTTATGAAGTCGATCAAGTTTACTAGCAACGAGCTTTGCAGCGCGTCGCTTCCAACGGAGACGTGTGTTCCCCAGGTTCCTGAACACGTAAGGGTGAGGGCGAGACCACCAAGAGGAACGCGATGCCTCGTTGATCATGCGAGACAAGCAGCAGCCGTTTGGCATCCCACTTCACGCACGCAAGCACGCGTCACGGACAAAGCACAAGCTACGATAGCCCTCGAGCACTCACCTTTTGCACCCGCTGCGTTGGCTGTGCTGGGTGTTTCTGGCAATGTGAGAGATGCAAAAGTGCGAAGGTAGAGAGGCAGCCCACCGAACAGGCCACGTTAAGCTGCTCGTCACATTTCGTAGAGAAAGCCAAAAAAGAATAAATTCGAAAAAAGTCACCCCGAAGGCAAATTGCGGAGCCCCCCACAATATCTGTGGACAAAGATCTGGAACAGAAAGGGCGACGATTGCATTGATTTTGGCTGTCTCCAACAGGCCAAACTTCTTCTTCCCCTCGCTGCCTCGGCAAGGTTTTACGTCACAGGCATGATCCATAGCGAGGGGGGGGTCTTTCTAGCGACCAGGACTAGAATTATCCTCAAGGGACCGATACCTTCTTGCTGCGGCGCACCCGCCGCGACACCCGGGTTGCAAGGGGCTCCGTACACCCCATTTTTCTTTTTTTTGTTCTCGACCAATGACTCACGGAACCCCTCGCAGCTGGCCTTCACCATAGCGACCAACCGAAGTTTCTCAATAGCTCCGGCTGTAGTTGCGATCCAAAATTAGGGCAGCCCTCTATAGAATCGTCGTGGACACCTCTAAAGTATAGTGGCGTTGAAAAGGTGAAAGGGATCGCACCCGCGACGGACCTCGGAGCGTAAAGTCCGCCAGAGGGGTGGTATCTTCCGTAGAATCTTGCCTACCTGTCCTGCGTCTCCCTGCAACGAGAGAGGGATTAGGGCTGCGTGGAGAGATCTCTGAGGCGAAACGGAGGAAGGCACTGCCGTGCACAACCCACCCAAGGTATGAGCACTTCATGGATCAGAAACATGGGCGAAAATCACTGATAATCGGGCGAATCCAGAGACAAGATCATGTGCGGCACGAACCACCCGGGTGCAGCGGCAGCTATAGCTCAGCAGCAGCTATAGCTGCTTCGTGCAGGCTAAGCCGCCCTTTTGCCTGCACCCGAAGGCAATGGTCCTGTACGGTTACCAACCGCGACGCGTGATGAATGCCGACTCATGATAGGATTGATATTGCTAGATTTAGGGGCGGGCGACAAGATTCAATCTTGTGTGGTCCCCAAAAAATT